AAGGGAAGGGAAGCAAAGTGAAAATGGAGGCCAACTAACACCTGACATTGTCCACTCGCTAGGGCTGCTGTTTCCACTATTGGAATTGATGATGGCTAGTTTGCAGATTCATTGTCATGAAATGGCCATTACATCAACGATAAAAAACGGAGTGGCTGGGAATCCATTTATAGCGTTGGGCTTTTGATATCTGCATACTAAGTGTCTTAAGCACCCAAGAGCAAGCTCTCTCCACAGAAGTAAGGAGTTTCCAAAGGAAAGGGCTAATACTCAGGCCTACATTAGAGGATTTGGAGAGAAAGCAAAACAGACCAGCAAATAGCTCTTAGATCCTGACCTCTTCCCACTTGATCCTTCCTTCTTCAAATTTAAAGCTGAGTAAGCTGAGGAAGGCAGCAAACTAACTCCTAATTTGGGCCTTGTTGCCTGACTTCCCCAGACATTTCCTACACTCTTCCATAAGGGTCTGACTTGATACCTGACCTTGTAAATGTTCTTCTCAGAAGGAATTCTATTGAATAATAATGTCTTCAAAAACTAACTCTGTGGCACATCTTTCCTTCCCTACCATACCTAACACAGCCTTTACTTCAGTTCACAGACAAATTGAGTATGATGCATTGTACATGCTTTAACGTTTGTGAGCTTTAACTTTAAGTTATAAAATATGCATATAAAAACCAGGTACCACAGGCTGGGAAGGTGGCTCAGTGGTAGAGTGCTTGCCTTGCATGCAGGAGGCCCTGGGTTCAATTCCCCAGCACCACATAAGCAGAAAAAGCCAGAAGTGGCACTGTGGCTCCAGTGGTAGAGCTCTAGCCTTGAGCTGAAGAGCTGAGGGACAGCGCCCAGGCCCAGAGTTCAGGCCCCATGACCGGCATGGTTCATGCTTATAATCCTAGCTACTCAGGAGGCTGAGATCTGAGGATTGCAGTTTCAAGCTACCCAGGCAAGAAAGTCCATGAGGCTTTTATCCTTAATAAACTACTCGGAAAAAGCCCCAAGTGGTGCTGTGACTCATTTGGTGGAACACTAGCCTTAAGCACAAAGCGGCTCAGGGACAGTGCTCACACCATATATTCAACCTCCATCACCATAAAACAAAACACATATACCTAACAAAAGCTGTGCACACATTTCCCTCTTTAGGCCATCATGGTCTCCTACCTCTGAACACACGGTAGCAGAACTTTTGTAGCTCATGATACTACACCTTTGTGGCCTTGGAAGGTTTCTCCTGACACGTCATTTCTACAAAGCTTTGGAGGGGGCTGTGTTTAACAAACTGACTTTCTGTTCACCTTGTGTTTCACACATCATATGGCCCCTTCCTCTGAGCAGGGGAGCTGGTTAATTTAGCATGGATCTCTGAGCTAGAGACATAATTTCATTTGCATTCCAGGAAAAAATAGAAATTCCAGTTATAAAACAATGCATCCATACTGTTGAAGTCTTGGTGTTGATTTTCCTCCTAGACTTTGAGAGCAGATTTTTTTTTTTAATTTTATTTTGCCAGTCCTTGGGCTTGAATTCTGGGCCTGGACGCAGTCCCTGAGCCCCATTTGCTCAAGGCTAGCATTCTACCACTTGAGCCACAGTGCCACTTTTGGCTTTTCTTTGATTCCTTAGAGATTAGAGTCTCATCAACTTCCTGCACAGGCTACCTTCCAACTGTGATCCTCAGATCTCAGCCTCCCAAGTAGCTAGGATTACAGGTGCAAGCCACCAGTGCCCTTCTAGATTATTTTTTTATATGTACAAATATATCATAGGAGAAGCATGGTATCAAGGACAGTTTCAATTCTTTTGTGTTCATGTACCACAGCTTTATCATTAAACCCCAGTGTGATCTTTCTAACAATGCCTTGGGCCTTCTCATTTAGAAATCTTAGATATTAGTGTAGCTGGTTCATTTAAAGGAATTAATTCTTGCCTAGTGCAAAACCTTACCAACCTTGGGGGCATATGACAAGGCTGAGGTGAGGGTGGCCTCACCTCACAGACTGCACCTCACACCAGTCCTGCTCTCCTGTGATCCTTATGCACTTCTCAGCCTCCCTCCTTATGATATAATCTAGTTGGCTGCAGGTGGCTCACATCTGTAATCCTAGCTACTTAGAAGACTGAGATTCATCCAGAGGATCTTGGTTGAAGACAGCTCAAGCAGACAAGTCTGTTAAAATTCAGCCTCCCAAAGCAGTCTGGAGGGTCCTTAGAAAGCTAAAGATTGACCTCCCTTACGACCCAGTCATATCACTTCTAGGAACCAATATACAAGGACACGTGCACCTCCATGTTTATTGCAGCACTGTTCACAATAGCTAGGATATGGAAACAACCCAGATGCCCCACCACAGATGAATGGATCCAAAAATTGTGGTATCTATACACAATGGAATATTATGCAGCCACTAGAAATGACAAAATAATGGCATTTGCAGGGAAATGGATGGAGCTAGAAGGAATCATGTTGAGCGAGGTAAGCCAAGAACGAAGAGACAAACGGTATATGGTCTCCCTGATAAGTGGATGCTAAATCCAAAATGTTAGGTGATACGACAAAACTAACAGGACTTAAGAAACAAAGAACTCGCCGGGCGCTGGTGGCTCACGCCTATAATCCTAGCTACTCAGGAGGCTGAGATCTGAGGATCACGGTTCAAAGCCAGCCCGGGCAGGAGAGACCGTGAGACTCCTATCTCCAATAAACCACCAGAAAACCGGAAGTGGCGCTGTAGCTCAAGTGGTAGAGCGCTCGCCTTGAGCTGAAGAGCTGAGGGACAGCGCCCAGGCCCAGAGTTCAAGCCCCACGACCGACAAAAAAAAAAAGAAACAAAGAACTCCCACTCATCTGGTTGAACCACTACTAAATATCCCCATGCTGCTGCTCACATATATGGTGTATAACATGTGAACACCGTTATATGTTACAGACTGTGATAACAATTTGCTCCAGGAAAGTTAAAATGAACTTGTGACTTTAAATGAGCATCATTATTCCACAATACTGTGAATTTCCGGAAATTATGTAATCACTTAATCACAATAAAAAAAAAAGAACCTCAGGGAAGGGAGGGAAGGAGGGATGGTAGGGGAAAACAATGGAGGGGGTAACAATGTTCAAGAGGAAGTGTACTCATTACCTCACTCATGTAACTGTAACCCTCTGTATAGTATCTTTACAATAAAAAAAAGAGAGGCTAAAAAAAAAAATTCAGCCTCCCAAATAACTAGTGACAACAGGACTGAAAGTGTGATTCAAGTAGTCAAGTGCCAGCAAACTAAGCAGAAGGCCCTGAGTTCAACCCCCAGTATTTGTGGGGGGCACACCAAGGGCAGGGGAGAGGGAGACAAGGAGATGCAGAACTGTATCCCATCTTGATAGTGTTCAGAGGATGGGGAATTAGTAGTTAGTATCTCAATGGCTGTTGTCAGTCAAGCCCAGGCTAATAACTCTGCATGTGAAAAGCTGTAGTTATTCTGTAATGGTCAGACTCAAACTACCTAGAAAGAATCACCTTATATTTATGTAGGTGTAAGTTTATGCTTTGCTCCACTGTGTTAAATCAGAACAAGAAACCACCTCTGAACTCAGTCAGCTCTGGGGTGGGGATGAAGAAGCAGATTCTCAATATAGTATAGCATCAACCTCTCTGGAACTGCAAAGCCTGTAAAACAACTCCAGCACAGCACTGACTGTGTTTAATGGGAAGTTCTTGTCTTCTGTGAAGGCCACCTTCCCCTTGCCTGCTTTGCTCTCCAAGCTCCTGTGCAGTAGCATGCACCAACACATAATGGGATACAGGCATTGGGGTGCTTGCTGATCTTTCTTTCCAACCTCATGTCTTAAATTAGCCTAGCTCCATTCTCCCTGAGGAGATTTAGTCCAGTTTATATGACTTTAGGAAATACCTGTTGTTTCCAGATTCAATGTATAAAGCCTCCTATCAGGTCAGGTCAGAACCCTTAGTCCATTACTCTTCAGTCAGCACCAGGCAATCTTGGCACCAAGTTCACTCCTGAGTTTTCTCTTTGCTTGGATACAAGAAGTCCATAAAGTCAGAAGGATTGTTGGGTCTTCAAAGAGAGAAAGGTGGAAATGTTGCATGTAATGGTCAGAATGCCCAAGAGCCAAAATAGTCAAATACCAAAGCAGTTCTGGCGATGTCACCTAGAACCGGGGGCAGCAGCCAGCCCTGCATGATATCCAGGCTGTTGTTAAGCCTTTGCAACTTGCAGTAGGTAGATCCACAGTCTACAGCTTCTGGTAGGAGGATTTTTTAACAAATCTTGGCTTTTGTGGTTTGCACAGTTTTCTTTTTGGAAAATTGCAGTTTATAGAAATTTTTTCATCTGCTCACACATGCAGTGCAGTGTTTTTACTAATTCCCTGTTTATTTTATTTTAGAAACTTGCTGAATACTTTCATTCAGTTTAAGAAGTCTGTTTGTTTATTTATTTATTTATTTTGGTTGGTCGTGGGGTTTGAACTCTCGGCTTGGGTGCTGTCCCTGCACTTTTCAGCTCAAGGCGAGCGCTCTACCACTTGAGCCACAGCACCACTTCCAGTTTTCTAGTGGTTTATTGGAGATAAGAGTCTCACGGATTTTCTTGCCTGGGCTGGCTTTGAACTCCTATCCTCAGATCTCAGCCTCCTGAGTAGCTAGGATTTCAGGCGTGAGCCACCGGCGCCCGGCTATTTTTTATTTTTGTCAGTCATAGGGCCTAAACTCTGGGCTTGGGCACTGTCCCTCAGCTCTTGGCTAGTGTTCTACTACTTGAGCCATAGTGCCACTTCCAGCTTTTACTGCTTATGTGGTGCTAAGGAATTGAACTCAGGGCCTCATGCATACAAGGCAAGCACTCTACCACTGAGCCACCTTCCCAGTCCCAGAAGTCTATTATTATAGCTGTAAAAGTTCTAGCCATTTGACCAGGAGTGTCTATTTTGCCTCTTTGTGATGTGGTTTGGGCTATCAAAAAGGCTTGCTTCCAAACAGCCTCTACCCCCTTCAGACAGGCTCCAGATAGCTGCTCTACTGTTATGTCTCCCAAGATTGTGGTAGCACGTCAGTGAGTACCTTGGTTAAAAAATTATTTTAGACAATGTCCTAAGGAACTGTGGTTTGGCTGTTGTTCTACTCAGTGTATCTGCTATGTTCTCTGGGGACATTCCATCAAATCTACTTGGTTCATGGAGCACTGTGATCCTTCCCCAGAGGAGGAGGCCATTCCTCCTGTGAGGAGCCTCCAGATCTGCATAAATCACACTGATACCCAGTTTTCAAATAAGAGTGGTTCTTTTAGTTCACAATCTAAAAGCTGCCCTTTTACAGTGGCAGTGAGAAGCCATGCACCAGTTGCTAACACACACCTGTAATACTAGCCACTTGGGAGGCAGATACCTGAATAGCAGTTTGAAGACAGTGTAGGAAGAGAAATCCAAGAGATTCTTATCACAGTTAGCCAGGAAAAAGCCACAAGTGGAGCTGTTGCTCAAATGCTTGAGTGCCAGCCTTGAACCCAAAAAGCCAGGTAGAGAGCCAAAGGCCCTGAGTTCAGGCCATAGTAGTCACACACGCAAATACACACACACACACACACACACACACACACACACAAAACCAATAAGGGAGCAAAATTGCATAGGAAAAGGAAGTAGGGGGTGGGGTTTAGTATAATTTTGTGGTTCTTTTTGTAACTATTTAGTCCATCCATGATAAGAGCTTGTGTTTGTGTTTTCTCAATCACACGTACCTTGTTCCTCAGTTCTAGAGATTGACTGAGAGAGTGTGGCCCAGAGAAGAATCCTCTTTGTTGAGCCCTGCTGAAGTGATGGCCTGGAAGTCAGATTGCACAGGGCAACAAGTCAACCTATTGTGCAAATCCTCCACTTCCAAAACTCAGCACCCAAAATTTACCTTGGCCAATTAGCACACTGCTGTCTTTGTACACATTAGTGCGGGGAGTATAGGAATACCATGTGTCATGGACAATGAGTGTAGCTGACCCTTCATTGTTGGCCACAGGTCCTGGAGGAATCCAAGATCCTGCTGCACTGCAACATGAAGATAGAACTGGAGCAGGCCAACAAGAGGGAGTGTGAGGTGCCGAAGAAGATCTGGGGCTCAGTTCAGCAATGCAAATTCTAAGTCAGATGTTCTATGAGAAATCCCAACACACACTTAGGGTTCATGCCAAGATGTCAGCCAATTCTTCCTGATTAAAATATGTCCAGGTCTTACCCAGTTAACATGAAGAAATACTTTCTGGATAAGAACTTACTTTTCAGTATTAGTGAGTCACTGAATAGATTAAGTAGCTAAGTTATATGCTAGTCTTAGTGGGTTTTAAGTAGTTCTCTGACCAACCACCCTTTTTTGCAGGTTGTGGGGCTTGAACTCTGGGCCTGGGCACCGTCCCTCAGCTCTTCAGCCCAAGTCTAGCACTCCACCACTTAAGCCACAGCACCACTTCTGGCTTTTTCTGCTTATGTGGTGCTGAGGAATCAAACCCAGGGCCTCATGCATGCAAGGCAAGCACTACCACTGAGCCACCTTCCCAGCCCTTTGTGACCCTTTTGAAAAATAACTAGATATGTGCTTCTTGTTGCTGGGTGAGAAATACTTTTGTATACAGTTTGGTTTTCTGTCTGCAGGTATGATTGATGTATTACACCAAAATTATCAAATGTAAATGTAATTATTTACATTCACTTAGAATATGCTTTATTTAATGTTAAAATCCTTCTGGCACACTAGTAAATACAAAAACTCATTTCAAAGCAAGAGAATTACCTTCTATAGGACAGTTCCATTTACTGTTTTGGTCCTTGCTCTTCTCTACCACATACTGAGTACTGTGCAGTGTCCAAAGCGCGCCCATGTGGATGGACTGTGCCTTCTTCAAGAGCAGCGGCTGATTCCTCACTATAGAAGCCTCTTCTATAGTTAAGCTTCTGGGTTTGCAATCAGATTGAATGCATGAGGAATGAAATAAAACCAGACCTTATTTTTATACAGTTTTGAAATTTGTACTTAGACCACCTCCCTGGCCACATGGAGAACTGTATAGTCCTTTAGCTAGGACGAATTGGTACAGTACTTTTGCGTCTGTGAGACCTACTTTTTTGTTCAGTAGTTTGAACTATATATAAACTAATCTGTAAAGTTTTTATAGAATAAATATTCAGCTGTGAAAACTGATTAAATGAAACTAATATTTGTTAATACATTTGAAAATGTTTTTCAATTCATTACTTAGGTTTTTTGTTCTGTCTTCACTGGTAAATACACAAATGTGCATCAAACATGTGTTTGGTGACATCAGGCCCCAGCCACATGTACTCTATTGGTCACTCATTTGAGCGGATGTTGTGACTTCTCTAAGACAATTGTGTTGCAAAACTGGCACGTATCAAGTGAGGAACATTTTATTAAGAGGGACCAGGGCCCCATCCACTGGGTCTGACACTGCCCTGGGAAGCTTGGTCTTGTCTCCCTCCCCCAAATCCTTCCCAAGCTCATCTGGAAGCCTCTGCTATTTACCTAGATCCTCTTGTAAACAACTTGCTCATGTCCTTCTGTCTTCATGCAGATGTTGGAAGGTATTTCTGATCATAAGCCTTTTCACATGGTTTCCATAAAATGCCCAGAGCCCGCCCTCCTGAGAGTTGGAGAGTGGCTTAGGCCAGGCAAACAGCCACTGGAGGGCCCTTACATTCAGCCCAGAAGATTCACTGAGGGCGTTTCCAGAGACTGAGCTTAGGATCCTCCATTCATTCCTAACACCCTGACCCTCCACAGCCCTCTGCTGATCTAGACATTCTTCCTGAAGGGCTGGGGCACAACTGCTTTACACCAGAGCCTGCTGGCAGTGAATGCCTGGGCTATGCTACTTCTGCTACCTGAGATGTTCACTGCCATCTCCACCAGGGCGAGCTCTCGGCCACTCCAGGGACAGCCAACACAGCTAAGGTGCAAAAGGCAGGGCCCGCTGTGCACCATCCAGGCACAAACCAGTGCAATGGCTTCCCACCTTTGCGCCTCCTGGTCTATTGACTGTGTGATGAACCAATCTTTCTTTTCAAACTAAAATGTCTCCATCTTGTAGCCACTCACCACTGTATACTGATATTTGGTAGTAATGACATTTCCTGAAACTAGTTGTTTTGATACTGTAATTGTAACTTTCATCTGTGTTGCCTGTGACCAGCCAGTCAGATCTGGTGAAGAAATCTTTATTAATGAAGTTAAATAATAGACCTAGAGTGGGAACTTGAGTGGGAATTTTTCACTGACTTCACTAACCTCCTCCAACTGTAACTATTCTCAGCGGTACCCAGCCAGATGTGATCAGAACCCATAATGCCTTTGACTCTAAAAGGACAGTGCCCCACTGATGCTCCCCACACCCCGCCCCCTGCCAAGTATCAACCTTTCACTAACAGAGTGCTTTTAAACTTCCTAGTATTTCCTCATTCCAGTAACCAACTGCAAAAGAAAATAGGAGTCTTGGTTAGGACTGTGGCTTAGTGGTAGAGTGCTTGCTTAGCATGTGTGAAGCCCTGCATTAGATTCATAGGTACCACATTAAAAAGAAAAAAGTAAAAAAGAAGCCAGAAGTGACAGTGTGAGATGTGGTAGGACACTGGGACAAGAATGCTGGCTTTGAGCAAAAGATGCTCAGGGATAGTGCCCAGACCCTGAGTTCAAGCCCCAGGATTGGAGATATATATATATACATACACACATATATGTATATATGTGTGTGTATATATATGGAATCTTAAGAAGAAAAGAAAATATGAGTCTAACTCCTTAGCAACAAGAATGGACAACTTGTTCATCCCTTAGGTTTAGATAAAAACCGAGACTACCCAACCTGGTATGCCTGTCTAGCTCTGGGGAGAATGGCAGAATGTCCTTCTGTACACAAGTAAAATGCCTTAATGAACTCTCCTATATCTCCTGTGTGTTTATTCGTCTTCTGACACTGGAAATACCTTGCTTCCCACATGACGATGTCCAACCCACTCCACTCCCAGTTTCAAGTGTACAGAATCAAAATGTCCACAATCACTGATTCCATTCTCATGGCCATTTCTTTCTTTCAATGTAGCAGACTTCCAGGCAGTATCCATTTACCAAGGAAGATTGTAAGTGACATTCATCTACATGGTCCTCAAATTTGTGTTTGTCTTATATTTCCTTTTTTTTCTTTTCTTTCTAGAGCTGAGTCTGTAACTCAGGTCCTTGACTTGGTAGACAAGTGCTTTTCCACTGAACTAACTCCCCAATACCTCTATCTCCTTCTTGTTATTTATCTATATGTATTCCTAGAGAGCACATTTTTTTCTATTAGCACACTTTATTAACTGTATATCTTTGTTGTGATAATTCCATACTTGCTTTTGTGCTTTAATCATATTTCTTTTTT